ATGTGAAAGGAGAATGTAAGTGTGTGAAAGCAAACATATATGTATGTGAAAGGAGAATGAAAGTGTGTGAAAGCAAGAATATATGTATTAGAAAGGAGAATGTAAGTGTGTGAGAGTGCCAGAATGAATTATGGCTTGTACGGCCCCTCATAGGAAGGCGTTGCCCTTCTAACATAGAGTACATTGTTGCGCTTTTGTGTGTGCACTTCCTGTTTAGCAACTTTTATTCTTAAATTACCTCTGCCCTGACAGAAGGGGAACAAAACACACTTAATTTCTTCATTGGCTCCCTGAATGCTGGATAGATGGATTCATGTAAGATTTTTTTTTTTTTTTTTTTTTTTTTTAGAAATTGGTGAACGTAAGATTCTTCCTATAAAAAGTGTTACTCCAAAAGTTTGAATGGTAGCAATTTTTTTAAATAGGTTTTGCACTGAAATTCTGTGCTGCAGCTATAAATTCACCTTAATCTTTACATATAGAGAAAACTGTTTTTACTGTACAAGAACTGCAGACAAACATCATAAAATCTATGCTCCATAGTCTGAGCTGTAAGCAGGAGCACATTAGCGATCTGTGATCCAGGAGTCCTGCTGTAAGTGACAGCCGAGCGTGGCACCTCATGGCGGGACGTCTGCTGGGATGGAACATGCTAACCAGGCTGAGTTTTTGATGGATGTGGCTGGGCTGACACGCGGTGGAGGAGGAAGACTGTGAGAGTTAGTGGTGGATGAAGGTGGGGAGCAGAACCTGACTGCACTCCAGAAAAGCACTCAGCGTGACAGCAGAAGTTCTGCTCTGCTGACGTTCAGATTAGAGCAGCAGGAAGCCAGACCTTATCACGGCGCTCTTAATTGAATCCGAATAGTGAGTCCACATCTAAGCAGTTGAATATCTTGTGGTGTTTGTCGCATCCCTTCTGAGAGAAATGTGAATAAAGTACAGAGGATGCACTCTTAAAGGAATCGTTCACCCTAAAAATTTTAATTACCTGAAAATGTAATCACCCTCAGGTCATCCAAAATATAGATGCCACCTATGTTCTTCATCAGAACAGATCTGGAGAAATTTTGCATTATCACTTGCTCGCCAGTGGATCCTCTGCAGTGAATGGGTGCCGTCAGAATGAGATTCTGATTAAAAACATCACAATAATTCACATGTAATCTTGTTAATTAATTATAATGTCTTGTGAAGCAAAAAGTTGCATGTTTGAAAGAAACAAATCCATCATTGAGAGTCATTAATTAATGTCGTTCCTAACCTGTAAGACCTTCGTTCATTTTCGGAACACAAATTAAGATATTATTAGATATATTACAATTTAGATATTTTTGATGAAATCCAAGAGCTTTCTGACCCTGCATATACAGCAACACAACTACCATGTTGAAGGCCCAGAAAGGTAGTAAAGACATCATAAAATAGTCCATGTGACATCAGGGGTTCAACCATAATTTATTATTAATGACAGAATTTTAATTTTTGGGTGAAAATTGATCATAAAAATAGAATGTTTGCACACCTCGGCTCCAAAAATACAAAAATGTATGTATTATGTCAAATGTATCTATGTGATAGTCTGTTTGAACATTTTTGTATTTTTTGGAGCCTAGGTGTGCCGACTTTTTTCTATTTTTCTAAAACAATGGAATTCGGAAACAATGGTTTTGAAGTTATTAAAAACATGCAGCTTTTCAATTTGCGAAATGTTAACTGATGAACTGGAGTCATGTCATGTCATACTTGTGGATTATTGTGATGTTTTTATCAGCTGTTTGAACTCTCATTCTGACGGCACCCATTCACTGCAGTGTTTCTGTGAAATTTCTGCAAATCTGTTCTGTAAATTTTAAGCAAATTTAAATTTTTAGGTGAACACTGTTGACTTTTTATCTGCGCTGGTTTGGGCTTGGGTCTTATTATGAGCTGTCTGTCCTGTGCAAATATAAATTAATGAGCTATTTGGCAGTTACACCGATGTCAGTTCACATTTATATGGATGTGAAAAGATTGATTTAGAAATTCAGAACTGTTTTGTCCTTTCTTGGCAATGCAGGAAATGGATCTTTTAGTAAAGCATGATTCAGTGAGTTATGTTGATGGTGTGCTGAACGCTGCAGCAGTGGGAGTGCGGGTGGAACGGGGCGCTCGCATTCTCGCCTCGTGCCAGATTGCAGCTCCTCCAGACTGCTAGAGCCTCCGCTGGGATCTTCCTTATTATCCATCTCCATCTATGCTCTCTCACTGCTGCTGTGTGGGAGTCATACAAACGGCATACCAACTACAACTTCAGCAAATTGTGTTCAAAACCAACACCCCTGAATCTTTAAGCACAGGGAGAGAATGAACACATATCTCCCTCATGAACATTCTCCTGTTCACACAGTTACAGTTGTTTGCAAAATTAAGAAAAGAAAACACCTCTGAAAATGGCGTTAGGTTTATGCTAATTGTTCAGAAATACTTGACATACAGGTTGGCCACATTGAAAGTCAAAATGTAATTTAAACCTGTGAATGAACAGAAAGGTTTGTTTGTTTTTGTTTTTAAAAAACAATATACACATTACAGTTCAAATGATTGCAGTCAGTAAATTTTTGGTTGAAATTAATACTTTTACTCAGTAAAGGTGTATTTAATTGATTAAAATGGACAGTAAAGACTTTTGTGTTTGTTTATGTTTATATATATATATATGTGCTGTCAAACGATTAATTACGATTAATCACATCCAAAATAAAAGCTTTTGTTTGCATAATATATGTTTGTGTTCTGTGTATACTTATTATGTATATATAAATACACAGTATATATTTTGAACATATTTACATGTATTTACATGTCTATATTTATATTCATATAATTTATATAATAAATAAATATATTTAATATATAAAAAAAATAATTCTGAAATATATACATGTATGTGTGTGTTTTTATATATACATAATAAATATAAACAGTACACATACATAATGTAAACAAAACTTTTATTTTGGATGTGATTATTCGCAATTCATTGTTTGACAGCAGTAATATATATATATATATATGTGTGACCCTGGAGCACACAACCAAACTTATGTCGCTCGGGGATAT